AATAAGAAAAATTGTAACACTCTAAGCATAGTGTGAGTTAAAAAATATTCGCAGCTGTCCCTTAAAACACCTTTTTTCTTCATTTGTATGAACAACCCAAATAAAAGGGATAACCTTAAATCTCTAGAAATACTGTACTCATTTCTTGGTATAATGTTGATAAATTCTTTTTTTTTTTAATGTTGATAAATTCTAATGCATCCAGAGAATGATTACCAGAATGGAAAAGACACTTGAAATCACATTATAAGAGGAATGACAGAAGAATCTGGGGCTATTTAGCCTGAAGGGTATATTTAGGTATGGTTTGAGTAATCATTACAAATAATTGGAGGGTTATCATTAGAAGAGGGAAATGTAGATAAGGGCAGGGGGCACCATTTAATATTTCTTGAACCCTTGCTAAATAACTACATCTTGCACTGTGCTAGACATTTTATATTTATTGTTCCACTTATTTACTGTAACCTTACATGATACGGATTTTTTTTTTTTAATAGTGAAACCGAGGCTCGAAAAGGTAATTAGCCTAAGATCAGTGAGCCAGTAAGTGTCCAAAGATTCAAATGCTGGTCTGACTTCAAAGGCCGTTTTGGATACAAAACTACAGAGAGACAGATTTGGGTGCATATTATGAAGAATTTTCTAAAAATATAATGGATTGTCTCATGAGTAGTATGTTTCTTGTCATTGGAGGTGTGTAAGGAGAAGCTGGATAATCACTTGGCATTGGTTCTGTGTCTGGTGTTGGGGTATGAATTATTGAATTTGAGGTTGGTCTTTTTTAATCCTGTAATTGTAAGAGGGCAGAAGAAGGCTGTTCATTTGCTCTTGAGCATGTGTTGTGCTATTAAGCATGTGTTGTGTATGGAGATGTCGGGAAAACAGAAAAGCCTAATAAGGACATTGTGCCTGGCCTTTACTGGTTTACAGTTGTTGCTTTACTATGTGAAGAGACATTAATGGGCCCTTTTTTTTTCTTTTTATTAACATGCATTATTTCAGGGGTACGGGTCTCTGATTCATCAGTCTTACACAATTCACAGGCTCACCATAGCACATACCCTCCCCAGTGTCCATCACCCAGCCACCCCATCCCTCCAACTCCCCTCCACTCCAGCAACCCTCAGTTTGTTTCCTGAGATTAAGAGTCTCTTATGGTTCGTCTCCTCCTCCGGTTTCGTCTTGTTTCATTTTTCCCTCCCTTCCCCTATGATCCTTTGCCTTGTTTCTCAAATTCCTTATATCAGTGAGATCATATGATAATTGTCTTTCTCTGATTGACTTAATTTGCTTAGCATAATACCCTCTAGTTCCACCCATGTCATTGCAAATGGCAGGATTTCATTTTTTGATGGCTGCATAATATTCCATTGTGTGTGTGTGTGTGTGTGTGTGTGTGTGTGTATACACACCACATCTTCTTTATCTAATGGGCCCTTATTCCTCTCAGAATCTTCATTTATACTCTCTTGAGCTTCCCTTCTCTTCAGAAGAGTGTGGTCTTCAATCAGCAATAGTCAAAATTAGCACTTAAAGTTGGTATTATTAGAGTTGGTCCTTGAGATAGCCTTTAAGGGGCTGGGAGTTTGGAATGATTATGACTAGACTGGTCTATAGCCTGCAAAGGGGACCAAATAATGCCTCCATTATAGTTGACAAAGTTTGCCTAAAGAAGGGATAGAGTAATTAAAAAAGAAAAAAAGTATATGTAAAGTGAAGGCATGCCTTCATTTGCTAAGTGCTCACTTGGAATATTGTTTTTAGTCTGATAAGTAATCAGTATAAATAGATCAGGAGGGAGCCTAGATAACTAAATATTTGAAATGGAAGGACTTTGGGCTTCTGTATGAGAAAGGATTAAAAAAAACTTTTCGAACTGGCGAAGACATGATCAAAGTGTTAATACATGGATGGGGTAAATAATACTGATTTAGTCACCAATTTAGGAATTGGATGATGCTTTAAAGAGGTAATTTTAGGGTAAGTAAAAGAAGTACAGATGATTTCAGATTTCTTACCACCAGTATGTAGCATAGGTAGAGATAAGAAAATACTGATTTGAGAAAAGTTTTAGGGGGCGCCAGGGCGGCTCAGTTGGTTAAGTATCTGACTCTTGATTTTGCCTCAGGTCACGATTGAACCCCAACGTTGGGCTCTGCCCTGAGCATGGAGCGTGCTTAAATTAAGATTCTCTCTCCCTTTTCCTCTACCTCCCTTCCCCTCCTTGTGCACACTCACTCTCTCTCTCTACAAACAAACAAACAAAAAAACCCCAAAACTTTTAATATTGGGGGCAAAAGGGGTGGTAAAAATATTGTTTGAAAAGATATCACTAATATATTAGATTTATATTTGGAAACAACCCTAGAATTTTTTTCTTTTTTTATTTAAACAGAAGGGATAAAAAATTTTTAAGTTCAGGAAAAGGGGACATAATATAAAGATTAGAGAAATATCAAGGTAGATAAACTCATGAATGGCATATTCACCGAGTGGGAATTAGGAAAATACAAGAGGAATAGGATATGTTCTCTGCCTTGAAGTTGAGATAATTGTATCTGCCCCTAAGTACCATGTTGCTTGCATTTAATAGCTTCTAGCTTCTGAAGAATGACTTAAGTCTTGAACTGTTCCATTTAGGAAATAAAATTAAATAATAATATATTAATATCAGATATTTTTGAGGGATTTTAAAAAATTGGTCCTATAATCCATTTCTTTGTGAGAAGACCAATTTGAAAAATAGTCATATTTTTTAGCGTTGTATTCAGGATAGTGGTTATCCACGATGGGAAGGGAGGTAGGAGATATATTCAGCTGATTGGTAGTGTTTTATTTATTAAACTGGGTGGTGAGTTAATGACTGTTTATACTGTTCTTCATACCTTATTGTAGGCCTTAAATATTATATAGTAAAATAATTTCCCAACTTTTTATTATGTGAAATATTCAATTACATATGCCCTTCACCTAGATTCAGCAGTTTTTAACATTTTGCCATTTGGGATTTTATCTCCATATGTGTATATCTATATTTATATACATTTTTTTCCCCTAAACTGTGAAAGTAACTTGTACACACTGTAACAATCCATCCCTAAATATCCCAGCTTTCCTAAGAATAAGGATATTCTTTTCACATAAACATTACCATTATCATAATGGTACCTAAGACAATAAATAGTTCTGTTACATAATATAATATCCTGTCTGTATTTAAATTTCTCCAGTTGTCCCTAAGATGTCTTTTATAGCAGTTTTTATCTATTATAAAATAAAGACTCAAGTAATGCCTTTGGTTGTTGTCTCTCTTTAGTCTTAATCTAAAATCTTCCACTTTTTTTATACTAACTTTTTGAAGAGTCTTGGCCAATGTAGTTTTCTTCTGCACATTTACCTTCACCAGCTGATTTCTAAGGATCAACTGAGATGACTTATTTCTTGAAGTTTATTGTTGTCTCATTGTTTTTAGAGTAAAACTTGTTTAAACTTTAAATATGTGTTCCGAATTAAGTTTTCAGGTGTGATTTAGAGCTCTTTTCCTGCATTGTTGTCCAGTTATATTTAGTAGCTTAATGATGATAATGCACATTTGGTTGTTGAGTTTCACTTAGGTAGAGTCTCATTTGTTAAGGTTGTTAATAGAGTGTTTGGTTACATAGTGTACAATCAGAATGATTCATTTCAAACTTAGTGGCATGTAATGAATATCTGCTTGACCATAGAAAAGACTCAGCATAAGCAATTCAAATGAAATTCCACCTATTGAATTAGTATTTGCAGAGGACTGAATTTATTTGTTGAATTTGACAGTAGTGTAAGAGAATAGTCGTCCCATGGTTGCTTTACATATTTAAATCAGCTCTTTTCTTTTTTTTTTTTTCAGCTCTTTTCTTTAAGCCATGATGTAATTTTTTTATTGGCAGGGCACAGGACTGTTATATTTTTCTAATAGTCTTTATAGTAAAGAGAAATTGGTGAGTCTTTTAAAATAGTCATAAAGAGATTTAACTTTCTTAAAATGATTAAGTTTTAAAGGTAAAATATTGGTGCTTTTAGTCTGTCTGTAGGAGGAAAAAACCTTTCATTTAATAGATTTTTTTGGTGTGTGTTTATGGATCGTATGTGGAAGTCATTTCTGAAGTGAAATAAGAGAGATGCCCAGTAGCTAGTTGTAAATACAGATTTTTGTCTTAATAGAAGTTGAATAAGTAAATGAGAGAGCTATTTTCATTTTCAAAGTAATTCTCATATGTAGTCCATATACTTATATTAAAACTGCCTTCTAGGAGTACTCAGAGATACACAGTACTCCGTAAAAGCCCTGGAAGGCTTGCATTTTTGAGTGTTGCTTGTTCATCAATAGAGATGGTACCTTGTATAAATTTAAGCTGTCAAGTGTAGTGCTTTCCCATGTCGGGCTCCCTCCTCGCAGGGAACTGCTTCTCCCTCTCCTCCCTGCTCTGCTCTCTCTCACTATCTGTCTCTCAAATAAACAAATAAAATCTTTAAAAAAAAAGCTTCAAATTATAGTGGGACTAGATAACCAATTAAACAAGGACAAAGGAGGATATAAATAAAGTTTACAATCTTTATATTAAACATTTTAAATTGGGACTTTTTGTTCATTTGGACTACTTGAGATTTTTATTTTATGGAGGTAAAACTATGAAATTATGAATATAAAATATAATTCCAGTCATAGCATACTCTGTATGTGCTGAATTTGTTTCTGAGATTTTATTGAAGTTGAAATAAGTTATTAACTTAATGTTGTACTTCTTTTTAAGAGAGAATGCTCCCTTTTGAGAAATCAAAATTTTCATGCCAAACATTTAATTGATGATTTTAATCTCAGGTCCTTTTGCTAACTTGTGAATGCAATTTGGTTTGGATTTTTTTTTTTTAATGTTTGCTTTTTAATGCAGAATTGAATTTACTAAAGATGCAATTTAGACTTCTAAAGTTTTTAACTAGAAATTATTTTCTTTTGCTAGGAGGCAGGTGGAAGTCATCATAAAGTTTCTGTTTCACCTGTTGTCCATGTTCGAGGACTCTGTGAATCTGTGGTGGAAGCAGACCTTGTGGAGGCTCTGGAGAAATTTGGGACAATATGGTAAGGCTCATAGGGACTTCATGCAGATTGAAAACAGTATGGTAAAAGCCTTGATGTTTAACCATAGTATATATTGCTTGCCTGTGACTATTTCTTTAGAACCTCTGTATTTCTTTTAAGCCTCTTATTTTTAACCTTCTGGGATGATGCATGGATGTATTTTTGTGGATCCATGATCACCTCACACTCCTCAGCCAGGTTGTATGTAAAATAGATTATGGCATCTTTCATCTGATTTTCAAATGAATCCATGATTCCTTGTTAAGCACTGTTTTAATGTTTGAATGAGTTGATAACACCCTTCGTCTTCAGAGTTTTAAGTATTGGTACTTAAAAACTGATTTTTTGTTGTTTATTTTGGAATATTTAAGAATTAATAGGCAAATAACAGTGGGTAGATTAAGGATAGGCATTATTTGCTTAGGTGTGTGTTGCTGAGTTCTTATGCAGACCATGAGCAGTCAGTGTTTTATCCTAGTTTGTTTTATTTTTGTGTTTAGTATTCACTCAGGCTCCTCCTTTCTCTTCCCACAGCTGGTGTATGCTTAAGGATATTGACTTAAGTGAAAACATAATCAGAAAAGTGAATCTGCTGCCAAAAATAGACACTCAAAAATTCTTTCTAAATTATTTTTGGAGTATGCCCGGCTGTTGTTCTCTTCTTAGTAGGGGTAGCCTGGAGTTGATTTTATTATTTTTTCCTTGGTGAATACGTTTGGGGTTTTGGTTATAGGCATCAGAGACACAGACTAACTCAAAATATAGAAACAGCAGAGAAATTTCAGTATATTTGCTGAGATTGATTGCTTCAATCTTACAAAAATTTATGTGGGGTTCTGAGTTTTGAAAGGATGCATAACTAGATGGTGAGAGAGTAATCAGAGATGTGTGGCAGGAATCGTTGCTTCAGAGGAGTAGTAGTGTTAGGTAACACCTTCCATCATGGCATCTTTTTTTCTTTTTTTAATTTAATTTTATTTTCCTTGATGACCTTATTGAGAGGTGGATGACTTGGGAAACCTGTTATCCTCAACTTATGTACCTCAGAAACCACAGTTACATATTGTTATTGGCAATCTACACGGGCAGGAGAAAGTCCATTTCTTAAAGTGTCATTAAGATGACTGTATCACTTCTTGTCATTTCAAGTGGATATTGGAAATGAAGTTTGTCTGGGGCTTTATATATTGAAGCAGACCCTTAGACCTTATTTAGACTTGACATGTTGGCGCTAGACTAACTCTATGGGTTGCATTATCCCATGGAGTTAGAAAGAGATGGTTATTTCTGGCTTATTTTTTCTTCTGTTTTTTTATATTGGGCTTTTAAAGTTATTTCCTTAAAGTGAAGAAATACTGAAGCAATATTAGAAAACAAGTTGATGAGCAAATACTGGTGGAAACTTTAGAGAAATAATAACTGTATTGATATTTTGATGTTAATTATGACCCTGACCCAGATGTTGGGCATTAAAGAAATAGGACTATTTGTTGAAGTTGGTGAGTTATTTGAATCACTTTTGAGTGGCCTGTACATTTTTAGCCTGTATACTTTTTGATATACAGGTAGATATATGGTAGAGTGTTTTATATATGAATGTAATTCATAATTTGCATAGTACATCATTCTACCCTCAGGATTGGTAGTTTTGTGGATGAAAAAGTCATGAAATAGGGGCTCCTGGGTGGCTCAGTCATTCAGCGTCTGCCTTCGGCTCAGGTCATGATCCCAGGGTCCTGGGATCGAGCCCCACATCGGGCTCCCCGCTCAGCAGGAAGCCTGCTTCTCCCTCTCCCACTCCCCCTGCTTGTGTTCCGTTCCCTCTCTCACTGTGTCTCTCTCTGTCAAATAAATAAAATCTTAAAAAAAAAAAAAGTCATGAAATAATTGGAACAAATTAGTGTATAATTAAAAGTTTAATTGGCATAAATATGTGGAATAGGAGTTTTAATTGTATGAAATGCTCTTGAATAAGAGGTGGCTACTGTTGAAGCTGAAAGAACCTTGAATAGCCTCCAGAGAGGAGTTTTGCTTCAAAATATTGCATTTATAGAACCTTTCTCTGTTTATTTCTTTAGTGGTATGTGTGGGATTATAAAGATTATATAGAAACTGCTCATATTAAAAAGATGTGTCGCTAAGTTCAACATACAGTAAGTTTATACCTAAAAACTAAATGCGTAGGATAGAATACAATGTTGAGAATGGTTGTGTCAGTATAATAAAATTCTATATATTTTTTGTCTTTATTCTGTAATGTATTCATGTATTAGGATCAAAAGAATGTTTAAAAATTCATACTGAGTTTCTCTTCCTCCCTTTTCCCCTTCCATTAAAGGAGAGGATGCGACGTATAATTAGCTGTATTGGTTTAAAATTTTAAAACAAAACTTTAAAACAAAAATTTTAAAAATAAATATATTATTTATATATGTATAATAAATCTTTTGCCGCCTCCTGTTTTCATTTAAAAATTAGTAAATGTGTTTCGAGTAACAAGTTGAAAGCACTGTGACCTTACCATGTCCCTTAGCCCTTTTGTTAATTTTTTTCTTTTCTTTGGTCTTCCCGTCTTCCTCAATACTAGTGCTTTTATTTTTATTTTTATTTTTTTTTAAATATTTTATTTATTTATTTGACAGAGAAAGACACAGCGAGAGAG